TTTTTTTAACCATGCCAGTCCTCTACTATGCCTGCATCACTTCACTACATGGCAGATTCTGCACCACTCAGCCTATCCATATCATCTTACACTCACTTGTGAAGATTCTGAAATACATAAGGGCCCAGTGCACTCTGTCAGAACTGCTTGTCTGATGCTGGAATAACTTCAGAAACCCCTTCCACCAAACCTGTCTAACATCACATTAGGGGAAACTGTGACCCCTCACTTCTATAACTTTCTGAAACAGACAATCTGGTATTCATACCGCTTTCACACGGGGATTGACCGGCTGTGTGGAGGAGAGAAAGGAGCCGAGATTTTAACTTCTCTCTCAAACTCTTTTTTTCATTTTTGACACAGCTATTTCTTTCACTTTTCACATGTGAACAACTGTGTGACTTCCTTCCTGGACACACTGTTGGAAAATTCACACTGTTAATCCTAAATTTAAACAACATCAAGTCTCCTCCGCTCTCTATGGTAGCCGACTTTTCGCCCCAGTCTCTGAGTATGGAACAGAACATTATAAACGCTTTTGATTGCTGATCTGGTCGGACAGCGTGTCTCGCAAACTAGTTTTGATCGAGCATAAAGTGACCCTTACGCTCCTTCAGTGGAGGCAGCAACTCGTGCCCAATCGAATCATTTTCCGCCAGATGACCATGGCCTCAGATTTGCAGGTGCTGACCCTCATCCCGGCTCATAACAGCCCCAGTGCGCTCTTGAGGTTATATTCGGATGAAGTCAACTGAATTAGATCATAGGCAAAAAGTAGACTTGCGATAATGAGATCCCTAAACTGTATGCTCTCTACTCCTTTGCTACGCCTTAAGATCCTGTCCATGAAAATCATGAAATCTGTGTCCAGACGCGACCCTGGCAGCGCCTAAAACCCAAAGAGAGAAAACTTCTAATGCGAGACACCGCTCTTGGAATCTGTTATAGCCCCATATTCCTTCAATACCCCACACAAGACACCGCAAATCCACAAAAAACATGTGGACTGGACAGACGAATGCTTGTGAAACTTGTGAGAGCTTTTTCACCATTAAACTCTCCTCTTGAATGTGCGAGGTTCCATAGTTGGTCAGTGGCTCCTTGTATAAGCTTTTTCCTGCGAATGCTTATGCTAATGAAAATAAAAATAACCAATACTCTCATGTTCATCGCTGCATAGTGTCAAATGCAATCTGTTACTTTAGATATAACAGACTGGCTGGGTTAATAGACTCTGTGCTGTGAGCAGTTACCTGATAATGATTTCTTGGGATTGATGGCGCAAACAATACGGAGACAGCGTTAGTGATGTCACTGTAAGTTTCTAAAGAGGATTTATTTGAGTCTTCATTTGGGTTTACTGCTCTCTGCTAAATCTTACTGGAGAAATAGATAATGTGGGCAAAAATGCAGCAGCGTATGAGTGAGTGTGATAGCATCAAATAAACCTCACAATATGCATCAAAATATCTTCAAACTCCAAATAACTTTGGGAGCTTCATTTGTGTAAAAGCACAAACATGGAGTAGAAACCAGTACAGCTGAGCCTGGCTGAAACAGTTTCAGATGGTAAGGTTAAGTGTGCTCGAAGACGTCCACAGATACATAGCAACAAGTAAATAAGGTCAAGGTCAAGCCCCAACACAAAGCTTGGTTGCATGTGTGTAGTATCCAAGGCTATTTGTAGTCCTTTCATTTCAGTCTGCCTGCTGTAGATGCTGCTTCATGGTTCTTGCTCCGGTCCAATGATTTAGCTGCTGATTCTGATGATTCGTCTCAATGAAACAATAACATTCGACCGCGGCCATCACGATGCACAAACCATTCAAGTCTCAACATCTTGTGGTATAAAATAGTTTGTATGTTGATCTGGTCACTGTGACTCTTGACGGTGACTTTTGAGAATGTTCTTGCATTAACGTAGCAACCAGGTTCTGGTTCTGGCTTTACTTGTTATCTTTAACTGTTCAAACCAATTCTGTGCTTCTCCTCTGATTATTGCAAAAAGGCAAAGGAGAAATAGTATCACAACAGTTGGCTTCCTTTCAGTCTTTTCTGGCACTAACCAGGCTTCTGCATCCCTTCATCTGCCTCGTCCAAGTGCAGACAAAAAACTAAAACTTGGTATGACAGGCTGACTCTGCCAACCTCAGAGCCTGCCAGTCAGATGTCCCGACACGACCTTAGCCCGGCTGGTCGGTCAGGACTGCAGACAGAACAGCTGAGACAACACAGAAACATTAAACGCAAATGAATTCCACCTGCTCTGTCCTTCCTCTAATCTAGCTGTCTCCTCGATTGAAGGTTGTGTGCTCGAGATTTAACGGCAATCTCATCCACCATTTAGAGTCACTCTCAACCCACTGTCGATATGTTAGACACTGTCTCAGCTGTATATAATCTTCTTTCTGCTTTAATGCACTATACCCAATGTTGCCATATGAGTCAGGCTGGCTGTATTGTATATTTTTCTTTTTTCAAATCCTATGAAAACATCAAATCAGCAATGAATTGATCCAAGTATATCCATAAACCAACAAGTATCGTTTGTTGTAGCCAGAGACTAATATTGCTCATTCCACTGTGTTGCGCTATGATGTTCCTTCACTGACGTTGGGCGGCAGGTTTGATTTCCTGGCTCCTTGGGCGAGATACTGAACCCCAATGTACCATCAGTGTGTGAGCCTTGTGTGTGATAAAGAAGGGCTGTATGAAGAGGGAAAGCCCTGTGTGAATGTGCCAGTGGATGGCTGAATGTGGCTCGTAGAGTAAAGCACTTTGAGTAGTTGATAAGAATAGAAAATTGCTATATAAGAGCCGTCCATTTACCATTTATCACTATGAACATAAGTACTATATGTTTAGTCTGAGTCATAGACACCATCCTGCTGCTGCAAATACACACTAATGCACCATATGTGTATTAATGCACGGACCCATATATCTTTTTTTACAGTAAAAAAAAATATATATATAATTTACGAGTAATCAAGTACTCGCTCATAAGCTAATGAGAGTACTCAAATATTGAAATTACTGAAAATGCCCATTCTTACTATTTACTTGTGTTTCAGTTACATTTGCTAAAAACTACAGTTCCCTGTTATTTTAGGAAAAAAAAGCTTTTCCTGTTTAAAAGATAACACTGAAGGTATGTTTGTGACCTCTCTCTAAAGAGTCACATCTTCAGTAGGAACAAAGGGGCTTGGGGTGGAGTGCCACAGACGGCTTAGAGAGGTCAGAAAAATTATAATGGCAGCCTTATCTTTTTATAATCAGCAATCCAGACTTCCACTGACTTTCTTTAAAGTGGTAACCTATGAGATCCCCTGACATATTTGACACTATGCAGCCAAGTCTGTAGCATTTTCTGCTTTGTTAGAAAAAATGTCATGTCAGTCAAACACTATACTAAGATAAATCTTCTCCTGGATGGAAGTATTTCCTCACAGTGGAACTCTTTTCTTTATCTACTCAGCCACGGTGGGTTTCCCCATCTATGCTAAATATTCTTTCTTTGTCTCTTTCCAAACAAACCACCGTGACATGAAACGCCTCACCCACTACAGGATTTTGAGATGGATAATTACTGGAGGTCAAAGATTGCTGCTGTAATAAGGAACGTGTCAGCTACTCACTGTCTAGTTAAAGCCTCTTAAACTCATTCCTAGATGTAAATAAGCCAAAATGTATTTCAACTAATTTCTGTCAACGCACCTGCATCAGGTTTGAGCAACTGAACTAGAATATCACAGCCATTATATATTTTTTTCTATGAGAATATCATACTATCACTGTAAGCCCTCATTTCCACTTCTTCCATTCCATCATTGCACTTTCACACCCCTTTCTCACCAGCATAAACCCCCCTCTCCCTCATCTCTTTCTCGCGCTCTCTGCCTTAGTGTTTTGCTCCTCCTTTGCTTCCCCCATCAACACACCCCCCCCCACTTTCTCCCGCTCTGCATTAAGCCCTGCTTGTGTCTCTGCCTCTCTGATCCTGGAAGCAGTGCTTATGGGAGCTCCTCAGACCAGTGTGAGCACTGCTGGTCTCCAGTCGCCTTCCCAGCACTGCCAGTGGAGGACGAGTGGTGGAGGAGGGGAGAGGGGGGGAGTATCCGTCCTCATGCCCTAGGCGGGAGAAAGGGGGGGAAAAAGGGGAGAGAAAAGGCTGGATAGAGGGAGAGAAAGTAAGAAGTGAGTATGTGAGAGATGCAGAGTGTAATAATAAAGATAAAATGAGAGCAACAAAGAGAAGGTGAGGGCAGGAGAGAAAAATAGAAAAAAAGCCAGGAGTAGAAAAAGAGAGAGCAAGAGCGGGGTGGAACAGGGAGAAGAGCAAATGAGTGAGCGAATCGGAGACTGAGACGGAGAGGGAGAGAGAGAGAGAGAGAGAGAGAGAGAGTGTGAGTGAGTGAGTGAGAGAGGGAGAGAGAGAGAGAGAGAGAGAGAGCAAGCGAGAGGGAGGGAGGCGAACAACACTGCAGACACTCGCCCACTGTCACTGCTCCACAGCCAGAGGACAGAGGCAGCAACGGCAACAGTGGAAGCGGAAACGATGGAGGAGGAAGACTGTACCATCCATCTGCAGCTCAGCCCCCGACACTGACGGCCTCCCTCTGGGACCATCCTGCCAAGTTGGGAGCAAAAGGAAAAAAAAAAAAGGAGAAAACTACTCTCTCTCTCTCTCTCTCTCTCTCTCTCTCTCTCTCTCTCTGTCTCTCTCTGTCTCTCTCTCTCTCTGTCCTTCACAAGACCAAGTACTGGACCTCAACTCCTGCAGGACTGATAACACACACTGCACACACTCCTCAATTTTTCTCCCTCTCTTACAATCCCACACACTTACTCACACCTCCACTCACAGCACACTTCACTTCTCGTTGCCTTTTGGACTAGTGTGTTTTTTTTTTTTTGTTGTTGTTGTAATTTTTTTTTTGCTTCACTGCCTCCGCTGACCTTCTGAGCTGAGTGGATTTACTTTTATCCTGTGGCGGACCATGGGGCTGGGGTGGAGGGGTGCAGCAGGGACCCTCCGAAAAAGGACAGAGGGGAGCTGGTACCTTTTGGTGACATTGCTGCTGTTCTGTGGTTTCTGGAAGGCTCACACGCAGACAGACGATTGGAAGTCTGTCTACTTCTGGGAAACAGGTACAACTAAACCACTAATTAGAGATTATATTTGATCCTTTGTATTACATATGGACTATCATGATGTTTGGTGGTGAATTAGTGCACGCTGTTGGTGCTGCTGTGCTGTGTGAACTCTCACGATCAGTCAGATGTAATCACACGTGTGGTTTCAGTTCATCATTTGTGGCAAATGCAGACTGAACGGTGTGATAACTTTGTATATTTTAGGGAATATTTCAAATCAGCGCATCCTAAAATAAAAGCTTTGAGGATCTAGTTCAGACACCGGCATATTCTCATGCTTAATTGACTTGCACAGGTCTACAATGCTTCCAGATGACACACTTTGGCTGTCTCATAAATTTGTTATCTGACGTATTGGACTCCACGTAGCTTAACTTCTAAGATACATACACTGGAAGATGACCCAGAAATCTACAGTAGAGCCGTCTCCTCATACAGCATGTGGCACACAGGACAACCATGATCCATTTTTTAATGGATTACTTTCATCTCCCTGAGTCTCAGGTGATGCACCCTTATTGAAATGTTGCTGCTGTGTGTTACAGCATGTAGATGATTGATAGACATTGCTGCACAACAGTGCTCGGTGAGGGAAGCAGAGTGGAATGGTTTTTGATGATATTGATGCAAAATCAGTGCTGAAGAGTGGGGGATGTGTGTGAGACTCATACATGTTGTAGATATGCAGATAGATTGATGGTTACTGTGTTTCGGATCTTTGCACATGCTTGTTTTCTGCACTGACTGCAGCTGTGTTAAACTGAAAAAGACTCATATGGAGTCAATAGAGTGTCACAGTGGGGTTCCATTGAATATTGTTATCACTGTTGATGTGCATGGGAAGCACACTGCCAATAATGGATGCTGAGCACTACTTAAAGATTGTAGAGTATAGTGAGCTCTGATTATCACATTTAGCCAAAAACTATATTTTTTTAAAACCAGTACAACTTCTCTCACTAACCCCAACTCAAACACCCCCGTTCCACTTGTCCTGCCCCGCCTCGCCCCGCACCAGTCCCCAGTTGACGTATCCCACGTCTCTCCTGTGGTTCTGCATCTTTAAAGAGGATGTAGCTGAGTAAGGAGATTAAAGGAGCAGGGATTTAACAACCCAGGAAAGACAGCCCAGGGAACAGACTTGAGAAAGAGAAAGGCAGAGCGAGCACTGCAGGCAGAGAGAGGGACTAACTTAACCTACATCTACCCTACTGTAGGTCATAGTGATTATGCCTCTCTCCCACGCTACAACACCTTTCTCCCACACTATACATGCTCCACAACTGAAAAGCTCTAGGCTCTTGCTTTGAAATGTAATCCAGTGTTGGGAGTTTGTTCACTTCTTCCCAAATAAAAGGTAGCGCATTGATTTCAGCCCTAGAGTCTTCTTTTTTTTCTGTGCCTCTTTGGTTTGACAATTGCCTGCAGAGTATTAAAATCACATAGGGCAATTTAGGGCTTTGAATCCCAGTGCTTTTCATCAAAATGTGATTATGTTTGCACAAGATTTGCATACTTTTTCTTGCCAATCGAAGCGCGTTTAAAAAAAAAAAAAAAAAAACACAAAATGTGATGATGTTTGTGCACATTTGCAGAGTATGCAGTGGAGGGAATATTCTTGTGGCAAGCAATGCTCTGATGTTTTGCATATTGATGAGTCTAGCTGAAATACAGCCCCTGTCTTCGAAACTGTGGGGAATTGGGCCTGCATTGCTTTTACTGCCTTCTGTGAAAATATGATGTATCTGTTTTGGAAGGTGAGACAGTTCAGTGCTGTGTTTTTTTTTTTTTTTTTGCTCTGAAAATACTATTCAAATGAGGCAGATAGAGACAACAGCCTCTGCCTGACACTGCAAGTGATATTTCTGAAGGTGGCAGTGAGGATAACTGAAGAAAAAACGAGAATGATTACAGCCACCATGAGGACGGTGGTGATGATGATGATGGTGATAATGGCATGCCACAGTTTTTCCGGGGCCTTTGAGAGATTGCCTGGAATGTGTCTCCCTCTCAGACGCTATTTTCACACCATTTTTCTTCTTGTCGTTTCCTCTCAACTGTGCACTCCCTCTGCACTTCTTCCTCTGCATCTCTATCGCTCTGTTTCCCTGTCTGGTGCTCATACTTGATTTTGCATTGCTGTTTTAAGATCCACAGCTTTTTCCAATAACTGCAGCAGTAAAATTCCAGAGAAAGCTTTTCTGTTACCAATAGTCAAGAGGTAACACCAGGATGACAGGGGATCTAACAAATACTGCTGTACCCTGCAAATTTATGTGTAATAGAGAACTGACACACATACACACACACACACACACACACACACACACACACACACACACACACACACACACACACACACAGCAGGTGTATCTTTCACATTCTGGTTCTGTATGCAGGCTTCATTAGAGTCTGTTGTTGGAGCGACAAGGTTGCCAGGTTTCAGCTGTCAAGACCTCACACGTCTGCCTGAGGACAAAGCAATTACATGTGGTAGAGGAGGTGATGGTGTATTCAAGAAAACACACACTGTAACATCTTCATATCTTGGCATTTTCTATTCACTCACTGTAAGTGTTCTTTAGAGACAGCGTTGCAGTTTGATGATCACGCAGGTTGATTTTTCACTGGATCTTGACATATACAAGACTTTAGCATGGTGAAAATCAACATTATAATGTCCTTTTTTAAGAATGTTGTTGTGTGCACCAACAGGTGCCAAGTCATGTATGAGTCTGATTTGAGATCTTTTATTTAATGACTGTTTATCAACTCCCACCCTCCCTGAGTTTGGGCCCCTAATCTTTCCTGGTATCCAGATTATCTGTCATTCAGATTATGCAGGAGTCGCCTGGAGCCTCTGATCTAGCCAATCTGATTTCACCTACTGTCTCGCCTCATAGGGTCAAGTCACACATCTGAGCATGTGCCTCTCTGCCATAGTCCTATTAAGTCACCTGAGTCATGCACGGGCTATTTAACCAATTGCTCCGACTTCCCTACTTACCTCCATATGTGTGTGTGTCTGCAAGTGCACGCAGTGCCGGACATTAACACCCAGAAAAAAGCACATTTGCATTTGGTCAACCACCACATTGGCAAGTTACATTTGGGACTTTTTGTGCTGACAAAGCTTAGACAGCTAAAGGCAAACCAGTGGCTTTGTATCAAACAGGCTCCTGATTAGCCACCTGTTGCACTTTTCACAGGGCATTAGCATTTAAACTTTTGTTTCATTGCTTCCTGGATGGTTAACTAAATGAATCATGAATCATAAACTTGAACATTTCTATGCATTATTAATTGACTTAATGAATAATTAAGATTTCTAGATTTAAAACTCACTAAGTCTGGTGAAAAATATTCTTATTCATCATTTAATTGCAGCGTGTGTATCCACAGCATGTGTATGCATGCGAGTGTGTTTTTGCGCGTGTAGGTCTTCACATTTATCAGCCCTGCATCTCTAATGACCTGTCACTTCGCAGAAACAATGGAGTTTTAGTTCTACACAGCTTTCAGCGCTCTCTGAAAAACGCTGCTGTGTGTCACTGCGTTGCCGCTGATGTCACCTTTGAATGCACGGGGACAGGGCGGCTAGCGCTGACAGGCCATTGTTAGCCGGATACACTCCTCCCTTCACGGAGGCACCAGCGTTGAAGGATGTCGCCCTCCCCTTGGGTTGTTAGTGGCTCTCTCACAATCACCTGCTATTACGGCGGACCCACTGAAGAGGCCATCCAGGAAATTGAGGGAGAGTGGGTGTGACGGGTTCACAAGTTCAGTACAGCAAGCCCAAGGTCATTAATATGGCGAAACACCTCCAGCCAAGCGGGTTGTTGTAACCGAACACAAGACAAGCTGAGATCAAACATAAAGCCTTGAGATAGTACAGATTGTACAGTATTGATCTCTTAGGGGTGCCTCCGACTAATTAAGCATGAAGTTGCTTCTCTGGCTTCATTTTCTGTGTTTTTGCCTGATCATCTAAATTTATATGGAGTGACTTTGACTTAATGTTCCCATTTATAGCTTCTCATTATACAAACGGGTTTCTTTGACTGCATACTCGATTGATTCACGTCCTCAGCTGACCTGAGCACCTGCCTCACTTCTTGTCCCAGGTTTAAATTAGAATCTTCCGTCTCTGTGCGCCCTGAAAATCCTGCGCCTTAAATAACTGTGCTAATACCTGCTTGCCTGCGTTATGTCCACCGGTTGTCTTGTACTGAGCCAGAAACAAACACACATCTGACTGAGTGGCTGTAGCTTTTGATAGCAGCGGGAATGTGACTGGCATCATCCCAAATGAGAATATCCCTTGGAGATTCCCACCTCATTTTAGCAAGTGCATTACAACGTGACCCTTTGTGACCCTAATTAGCATAGCACCAGAGGGCAAGCAAGAGTCTGGTAGGTAATTGGCTAGCCACTGTTTAAATTCCTTAGCAACAGGCAACAAATTTAGGCCATGCATATAAATTAAGACAATTTCCTTGGGATTTTCATTTTTCATTACAGAGTATGCCAGTGGGTTTTATTTTAATTCACTGTGCCTGTGTTTTTGTTTTCATGCGTAGTTCAGTTGGAGTGGAAATGGAGGCTAATTGTGTTGTGTGTGTCTGGCCCTACAAGCATCAGAAAGTGAACACTCAGCAGCCGGTGGAGTCGTGCTAAGGAAACGCAACAAACAGCAGTAGCCAAGTGGCCTCAGCATCTTTCTGTCGAAAACAGGAAGGAAGCTATTTTTCAAAGTTACTCTTTGTCTCGGTGGAAAAAAAAGAAAAAAAAAAGTGTGGCTCAAGCTCCAGTGGTCTGCGGTTCAGTATCACCGCAGCAGAAATGATACCAACATTGTACCATGACATTGCACTTGATTTTAAAAGCATTTGTAGCACAATACGTCACATTTGACCCAGATTGATCTGTTTTGTGGCTTATGAGATATTACCCGACCACTCTGCTCTCCAAACGGCTGCAATTCTGAAATAGCC